TTGGGCTGGGAACGGCCAGAAAGGAATGGGGGCCTGAGATGGGGAGGAGCCAAATAGGACCAGAGTTAGGAAAAGTTCTTTCGGTTTTGATAGGTAGGTGGCAGCTGGAGAGGGAGGGGCCAGGAGGGGTGAGCCGTCCCCAGGGGTGGATGTGCGGCCCTAAAGTGGAAGAAGCCAGGCGTTCTGGAACTTGGTGAAGGGTAGGTGGCCCCCTCTTTGTCCCCCAGCAAGAAGCGCAGCTCCCTCTTCCGCAAGATCACAAAGCAGTCAAACCTGCTGCACACTAGCCGCTCGCTGTCGTCGCTGAACCGGTCGCTGTCGTCCAGCGACAGCCTCCCGGGCTCGCCCACGCACGGGCTGCCCGCACGCTCGCCTACGCACAGCTACCGCTCCACGCCCGACTCCGCCTACCTAGGTACGCTCTGCGCCTGCGCGCGGCGGGCCGAGCGGCGCGGGGTGGCGGGGCTGTGCCCTGGCTGTGCCCCCGGCGCGCAACAGCCCCTCTCGCCCACCCGCAGGCGCCTCCTCCCAGAGCAGCTCGCCGGCCTCGAGCACGCCCAACTCGCCAGCGTCGTCGGCGTCGCACCACATCCGGCCCAGCACGCTGCACGGCCTGTCGCCGAAATTGCACCGCCAGTACCGCTCCGCGCGCTGCAAGTCGGCCGGCAACATCCCGCTGTCGCCGCTGGCACACACGCCGTCCCCGACACAGGCGTCGCCGCCGCCGCTGCCGGGCCACACGGTGGGCAGCTCGCACACGACGCAGAGCTTCCCCGCGAAGCTGCACTCGTCCCCACCGGTGGTGCGCCCGCGCCCCAAGAGTGCCGAGCCCCCGCGCTCGCCGCTCCTCAAACGCGTGCAGTCGGCAGAGAAGCTGGGAGCCTCGCTGGGCGCCGACAAGAAGGGCGCGCTGCGCAAACACAGCCTCGAGGTGGGCCACCCGGATTTCCGCAAGGACTTCCACGGCGAGCTGGCGCTGCATAGCCTCGCCGAGTCTGACGGCGAGACGCCCCCCATCGAGGGTCCTGGCACACCTAGGCAGGTCGCCGTCCGTCGCCTGGGCCGCCAAGAGTCGCCCCTGAGCTTGGGCGCGGACCCGCTGCTGCCCGAGGGCGCCCCCAGGCCGCCGGCGTCCAGTAAGGAGAAGGAGTCTCCGGGTGGTGCCGAGGCCTGCACCCCACCCCGTGTGACGACCCCCGGGGGCCGGACCCTGGACACCAGCGGCACACGGCACCAGAGCGTGCAGACAGAGGATGGAGCAGGTGGGGTGGCCAGGGCTGTGGCAAAGGCCGCGCTGAGCCCAGTGCAGGAACACGAGACCGGCAGGCGCAGCAGCTCGGGTGAGGCAGGCACACCCCTGGTGCCAATTGTCGTAGAGCCTGTGCGTCCCGGGGCCAAGGCCGGGACGCCCCAGCTTCCTGGTGCAGACTCCAAAGGGTTGCAGGAATCCACGTCCCTGGCGCCTCCCGCACCTGAGGTCCCCCGGGGTCGGGAGTGCTGGGTGCTAGAGGTGGTGGAGGAGCGGACCACGCTGAGCGGGCCTCGCTCCAAGCCCACCTCCCCCAAACTCTCTCCAGAACCCCAGACCCCCTCCCCAGCCCCCACAAAGAATGCGCCCAGCAGTGCAGGGCCCCCAGTCCTACCCACTTCCCCCTTGGTCCCAGCCACCAAGCCTGAGGTGGGGCTGACCTCCCGGTGCCCTGCTGAAGCTGTACCCCCAGCAGGCCTGACCAAAAAAGGTGCACCCTGCCCCACGCCTCCAGGCCCATAGCCGAGAGGGCCACTGGCCCTGCTCTGTACAGCCACCTGTATACATATGTACACATATAAATAAAGTGTGTCTGTGCTGTGTGAGCTTTCTGCAGCTCACCCCACCTCCCCTGGCCGGGCAAGACATTGTGTTTCTGCCCCCTTGCCTGTGTGCGTCTTGAGGTCTGATTACCATCGAGAAGGGAGGTGAGTCTTGGGTGGACCCTTCCTTGTGGTCCCACTTATTTATTTATTTTATTTTTTATTTATTTATTTTTAAAGATTTTATTTATTTATTTAATTGACAGAGAGAGAGACAGCGTGAGGGGGAACACAAGTAGGGGGAGAGGGAGAAGCAGGCTTCCTGCTGAGCAGGGAGCCTGATGCAGGGCTCGATCCCAGGACCCCAGGATCATGACCTGAGCCGAAGGCAGTCGCTTAACCAACTGAGCCACCCAGGCGCCCCTGGGTCTCATTTATATACCAGCTGTCCCCAGACCGTCAGGGAGAGAAGGGCTGTAATGTTGTCTGGAGTCCCAGTGTCCACTTGAAGAAAAAAGGTTAACAGCCCCATCCATCCACCAATTTCCTTTTATTTCTCAACAGTCCTGAATCAGGTATTGTGATTCTCATTTTGCAGATGAGTAGACTGAGTCACAAGTTAAGGCACATCATTAAGGTCACACAATTAGACATTAAACTGGGGTTCAAGCTGAAGTCCCAACTGGCTTCTGAGCCTTAGCTCTTACATGCTCTGCTGGGCTTCATGGAGAGGAGGTTCTGTTCTCCCCACAGGGCTTCCAGGCCTTCACCAGAGGCTGGAAGGCCTTCCAGAGGGCTGGTAGCTGGGCACATAATGTGCCCCCACCCCGCTGCTCCTCTCTGAGGTTCCGATTCATGTCACCCACACAGGCCCAGGGCCCTTCTGGGGCTACACACCACTTGGAGTGGTCTTCTGTGGCACTGAAGGCTGGTCCAGCTGGCTCAGGGAAAGCTATCTGGGTCACGTCCAGCACATGCTGGACCCTGGAGCAGTTAGAGGGTAGGATGCCATGAGAGTTTTGCCAGAATTGGACCTGCAGGTTACTGCCAAGGGCTTCTGCCAACCAGCCAGAGTACAGGTCTGTGGAGGATGGAAAAAGGGCATGGGCAGGGTCAGGGTCACCGCTAGGGCCCCTTCCCCTTTCTGAGCTCAGTTTCCTCAGTTGTCAGTTCCTGGAAACACAGGGAATGACAAAAACTAATAGCCCTTACCAAATGCTTTACATGCATCCTTTCATTCATAGCAATCCTTTAAAGTAGATATCGGTGTCCCCATTTCTCAGATGGGTTAAACTGAGGCTCTGGTTGAGTCACACATCACATAGCCAGAAACCAATATGTGAACCCAAGTCTGTTACCTACCTCTCATTTGCTTGTGGCTCTCAAAGAGTCCTAGTCCTTATTCCTGACCTGCCCTTAGCCATGGACACACCAGGCACCCCCTCTGCAGAAAAAGAGCTTTGCAACCCTCAGTCTCAGGACTCACCATCTCCAAATTTTCCAAATTTGGCAAAGCTCTGGAATGTGTCCCCTGCCTTGGATGTGAGTGTTACACTGCTGTTCCAGGGGCCATGGAGAACATGGTGGCCCTTGACCGCATCCTCCAGGTAGGGGACTTTCTGAGCGAAGGCCACATCTAGCTTGTGGTCATACACTAGGGGGTAGGTGTAGGTCAGCTGTCTGCCTGGAGGACAAGGGTGGAGAAAACGAAGGACGGTTCCACATTCTGGCCTGGGAATCAGGGATTCACTTTGCCTCCCTGTCCACACTCACCAATCTTCCAGAACTGAGTGAGGGGAAAAGACACACAGAGCAGGGTCTGCCCATAGGTTTGGGCATTAAAAGGCCAGCTGTATGCAGTGGAGGAGGCGGGTGGAGGGAACCGTGGAACACTGTGGACCAGCCAGAAGCCCCCTTCTTGGTCCAGGAGTAGCACACCTGAACGAGAAGACAGGGATGAGAAGGACTGCTCAAGGCATCCCAACAAGCACGTATGCCACCAGGAACACCCTCCACTTGCCAGGGGCCTGGAGAAGGTGTGGACAGGGTCGACACCCCACTGCTGAGCTCAGTTTCTGCAGCTGTCAATTCTCATAGTCAAGAAGAAAAACAATATTAGTACAATGAGGAAGCAGATGTCCAGAGTCTGACAGAGCACCCCCCACCACCACCACCCCATCCCTGGGCAGGGCAGGGGTTAGCTGGGGAAAATGCATAGGAAAACCAGAGCCCTTCCCCAGCCCCAATCCGGGACTCACCCTTTGTGTGCCCCCGGCTGGACAAGTCTTGAGCCCTACTGGGTTTAGGTGGCTGGTCATTGTATAGCAGGAAGGCGAGCTGGGGGGAGATGGATGGGGCAACTTTAAATTTCCCTTCAGGCTGGGCCCTAGAGTCTCATCCCAGGTTCAGCCCAGGAGCCCCTTCACCTGGCTGGCGTTCTGGTACAGCGGCAGCAGGCTGCGGCCCACGGCCCCCGCCGAGCTGTTGATGGACCCCGCGCCGTCGCGCCAGCCCCCTGAGTCCTTATCCATGTACTTGTATCGCAGTCCGCTCTGCGCCGCTTTCCCGGGCCCGCTCTGGGCTGGCAGCTTGTAAACGACGAACCTTGAAGTTGAGGAATGGGAGAAATGGAGGGAGGGGAAGAGAGGGAACCCCAGGCTTCACCCAGTTGCAGTGCACCCCCCAGGCCAACCTCGGGGGATGGTCGGCGCCTGCGCACTCACCAGTCCACAGGCTGCCCCGAGTCCCCGTAGCAGGTCAGGGTCCTTACTGGCACCCACAGCAGCGCGGCCAGGAGCACCGGGCTCAGCGTGGCCATGGCGCTTGGGTCCAGGAATCTGTGTTGGGGCCCGGGTCGCCAGGTCACGAGCCGGGCCGGGCCGGTCCCTAGTCGACTTTCACTTCCCCAGACAGGCGTGGGAACCCCAGCCGGAACCTCACGAGGATGGAGACTGCCCGCGAGACAGAGAAGCTGAAATTTGAAAGTCAGTTCGGGGCCCTCTGGGGGCGGGGCTTCCTTTCTGACCGTCACTCCCCTCGGGCACCTCCACGCGCTTCCGGCGGACTCAACTCTTGATATACTCCACCCACCCGTCCGGCTCAGGCCACGCCTCCTATGACCCCCTCTCCCGCCTCCGACTCCTTTCCTGGCCAATCATAGCTCACATCCTTCCGCTAGGCCCCGCCTCCGTCTCGTTCTACTGTGGCTAGTCTCAAACCGCTGTCTTCCGTTAGCACCCCGCTGCTCCGGCTCCTGGGTCAAACGCAGATTGGATTTTTTCCTTTCCTGTCTTACAACCTGAGGTCTAACTCTTGTGAATTTTGCTCTTTTAAGGGGCGCTTGTGCTCCTGATCCTCCCCCTTTTTATTCCACATGTTTTCCTGGGGCCCCCTGAGGTAGCTATTCAAGGGAATATTTTGGATCGGGTCACGGTGGAGGGTGATGGGGCCAGGCTGAGGGCTGGGGACCGAGGGAGACGGTCCCAGTGAATGTACCTGGGGTTCAAGGCAGGAGACAAGGACGATTTAGGCTAATCTGGGGGTGTGACCGGGAGGGGCGGCAAAGCCTCCAGTGCCAAGAGGGGTCGCTGAAGTTTACATGAGGGTGTGAAGGTGTGTATGGCCCCCCAAACTCACCCCTGAGAGTAAACTTCCTCCCATCTTCCAGCAGCCAAAACCCACAAAGTCAGGCCAACGCTGAACCTTTATCTGGGAGGGGCATTGGTACAGGACCCATAACCATTCACAGCAGATCCAGCCACTATGCAGAGCTTCATTAGTCAAGGTGTGAAGCCCCCTTCCAGGCCCGGGGTCTTTGGGAAGCCTCACCCCACAACCACTCCCACTGCCCAGGGCCTCTTGTAAGCTGGTCTGAGGGTCCAGCTCTCTGAGGGTCTGTCTCTCCGAAATGTCTGAGTGTCCAACTGAGTCCGTTTATTTGGAGGTCTCTCTGTCTTGCTGTATCTGTGTAGCTCTGTGGCTGAGGATGTGTGGGAGCTTGGGTTGGAGGCTCCCCCAGTCTGTCTGTGGGCCAGTCCTTGATCTTTGGGTGGATCTGTGGGGCCGCGAATCCAGGAGAGGGCCCGTCCGAGGGAAAAGCACCCTGTGTGGATCTGCTCTTGTCCCATCCCCAATCCCCAGGACGGGTCCAAGTGTTGGGGCAGGGCTCAAAGATGACGCTTCATGTGCAGGGCCAGGTGATCGGAGCGTGAAAAAGCGCGCGGGCAGAGCTGGCAGCGGAAGGGGCGCTGTCCGGTGTGCTTCCGGTAGTGGCGGGTCAGTTCGTCCGAGCGCGCGAACCTCCAGCCACAGCCGTCCCACGTGCAGGCGTAGGGCTTCTCCCCTGGGGGAAGGGTGGGGGATGAGGAAGCCCTGAGCGCCACTATCCGCCCCACCCCTCCCCGGTCTGCCTCTGCATCTATCTGGTCGCACTCCTTTGCTCAGCCTTGGTCCGTACTGGGGTGAGGCAAGTGAGGCGCCCCAGCACGCAAAATGTAGGGAGGCGCTCAACTCTCAGGGGAAGGCCCTGATTCTGCACCCACGTCCTGCCTCTGCGACCTCAACCCCTCTGTACCTGCATTTGGCGCCAAACCCGTTCTCATTTCCTGGACCCAAGTCGTGTCCCCTACCCCACTGGCTTCATTTACTGTTCCCTATTACCCTGCCTTGGAGTCCTAAAGCCATCCCCACCTTCGTCCTTTGGCTTGGCTCCCTGTGTTCCAGCCCCTCCCTGGGGACCCTCCAGCTGCTGCCTAATTCTGCCCTCCCCCCCGCCCCCCCGGCCTTGACCCTTGGGCTTCGAAATCCAGGCCCAGTCCCCCGTGATTGTTCTCTCCCCAGGCTACTCCTGGCCTCTCCCCACGCGTCTCTGCGCAGGAAGGTACACATAGCCCTGTGGGGACTCCTAAATTCAGGCTTCACACTTCCTCCTCTCCCCAGCCTCTATTCCACAGCCCCGCCCCGTCTTAGGATCCCTGGGACCCAGCTTTCTTCCCCTATGCCCATCCTCCTTTCTATTCCCTCTATCCTCCTGGACCTGCCTCGGCTTCTGGGCTCCGGAAACTGACTCTGGCCCTGCCTCTCCTCCTGAGTGCGGCCACGCCCCCTACAGTCTGGCTCCGCCTCCCCGGCAAGCAACCCACGCTTTATACTCCTGGCGGCTAACTCCGCTCTCGGTTGGCCCCGCACCTGAACCCTCTGTCTTTGACCCCGCCCCTGGCATTCCAAGCTTGTCCCTTCTCCGCAGTCCCTCCTCTAGCCCGCCCCCTTTGTCACTTGCCAGGCTTTCTGCTCTTTAGCCCTTCCCCTGCCCAGGTCTTACGCGTCTCTTCCCTGAGACGCTCCTCAGGTTCCCCAGGTTGTCTCCGTGCCCCCACCCGGCTCCCGGGGTCCCAGGCCGGCTCCCAGCTCCCAGCTCCCTCTGCCCTGCCCGTGGCTCCGAAATTCTGCTTTAGCTCCGCCACTTGCTCGGGTTTTCCAGCTCCCCAGCCATTCCCTGGTCCTGAGGCCCATCCTCCAGCCCCGGGCCCCGCTCCCTCACCTGTGTGCGTGCGCAGATGAGCCTTCAGGTGCGAGCTCTTGGTGTAGCTCTTCCCACAGCCCGGGTGCGTGCATGTGTGCGCCGCCTGCCTCTTGCGCGCCCACGATCGCCGGCTGCGTTTGGATGGCGCCGCGTCCGCGATCCCTCCTGGGTCTCCTGCGGTCCCTCGGAGTCCCGCACCCGCCGTCCCGGGTCCCAGACAACTCAAGAAAGAAGGGGGTGATGTGGGGCCGGGCGCAGGCGCCGGGAGCCCGCGGAAGAGCTGGAAGTGCCCTTGGTACTGCGGCACCGGGTACAGCGCTGGGTACCCGGACAGCAGCCCGTAGGGGGCGCCTGGCGCCGTGGGCACTGAAAGCGCGGTCCTCGAGAAGTAGCTGCCGGAGGAGCCCGCACCTGGCCCGGGGTACACCGGCTGCAGCGGCAGTGCCTTGGGCTCGGGCGCTGGGCCCAGGGCTGAGCCCGCGAAGGCGTCCGGGGCCGGGGCTCTTGGGGCCGGGCGTGCCCAGCCCGGGTGCTCCTCGGGACCCAAGAGCCCAGCCACCAGCCCCGGGCCGCCCACATACGGGCTGGGAGTCTCGGGTGGCGGCGGCGGCGGCGGCGGCGGCGGGAATTGCACCCCGGGGCACTCGCCTGGCGCCAAAGCGCAGGTTTGGGGCGCGCCGCCCGGCTCTGGGCACGAGAAATTGGTGAGGAGGAGATCCAGATCCCAGGCAGTGGCCGAGTCCCTCTCTCCGTCTTCGTCCTCCCTGGGCGCGTCCTGCAACTCCGGCCTCACGTGGAGGGGCAGCCCGGTGGGATCAGGGGGCCCCGGACCCAAGTCCTGCACCTCCTCAGAGCGCCACCACTGGGGAGGGACCCGGTAGCGTGAGGCTTCCGTGGACACCAGGGTACCCTGCCCAGAGATGGAAGGGGCTGGATGCCCTGATGGGGGCAGGCTGGCCAGAGGCTCTGGAAAGGGGTCTTGGTTGCTTGTCCGTCATGTCAGTCTGTCCCCCTCCCTTACACTGCACACTCCCTCCAGCCCCCCCAAGTCCGGGGACAGAGGTCGATGGGTCTGGCTGGAGACCCAAGATAAGACTGACATTATCTGGAGCCACACTCAGGCATGGGGGAAGGGGGGGCAGAGCTAGGCATGGAAGGCTGGGTGGGGGGCAGCCTTGCCTCAGTTTCCCCCAGGCTCTCCCTCTCCTTCCCTGTCCCCCCCAAAATTAATTCCCAAGATTAAATTCCTGCATTTGCTATTTCCCCCGATATCTAGGGTTGTCTTACTGTGGACTGCTGCAGTGTTCAGCTTCAAACCTCAGGTTCTTTTTTTCTTTTCTTTCTTTCTTTCTTTCTTTCCTTTCCTTTCCTTTTTTTTTTTTTTCTCTCAAAGTAAGCTCTATGCCCAACATGGGGCTTGAACTCACGACCCTGAGATCAAGAGTTGCATGTTCTACCTACTGAGCCAGCCAGGTGCCCCTCCAAGCCTCAGTCTTATATGACAAGAATAGGTCCTTAGACCAAGTTCAGACTCCTAGCCTGGACTGAGGACCCCCAGCCTTGGGTAAGATGCAGAGCAAGATGCAGACTAGACACCCCCCCCCCCCGCAAGCTCTAACCACAACCCAGGACCCCAGCCAGCCCACCTACACCCCACCTGGCCCCACCTTGAGAAAGTCCTCCTGTGTGTCCAGGAAGGGGCCCAGGGTGGTCAGCGTGCTGATGGAGGGCAAGGCGGTCTCAGCTGCAGCCATGGCCGGCTGGTGCCCACCCTGGGCCTCAGGCCTCCTCTCCCTCCGTGGCCTCGTGGGCTCTGAGACACCAATGGCCCCTTGGAGGGCTCCTCTCTGCCCTCAGCTGATTGGCTGCAGCCCCTGATAAGAGGCAGGCAAGGCGGGGGTCACTGTTTCTGAGGAAGAGACCTCATCTCAGCCTGTTTAAGGGCTGGGCCTTAAGGACTGACCCCATATATAAAGCCAAGTCAGAGGTTCAGGGGCTGGGGGCTCAGAGGTTGAGGGTTCAGGTGTTGGGTAAAGCGAGGCACTGAGTCCCCCCAAAAGGATAGACTTGGTGCCCTACTCTTAGTTATCTTCCTGTAGAAGGGGTAACAGACAGAATGGGGATCCTGAGAAGGGGCTCTGAGACACCCTTTCCTGTGACCAGGCCCCTGTAGCTCTCCCCCTCCCCAATAAACACCAGCAACCGTGTTGATGGCGGGACTTGGCATGAAGTCCCTGCCAAGCCAAGCATTATCAGACACCCCAGATGTTGGAGCCTGCTATCAGGTGGGGGCCCAGAACAGCCGAAGCTCTGTTCCTGATGAGTGGGAGGGTTGGGGGCTGGGGCTTCACGGTGGGTTGGTTTCAGATTGCCTGGATTGTGAGTTCCCAGGGCCTGAGCCCAGTGCCAGGAGGAGCCCCTCCCAATCGGCCGCCTGCTGTCGACCATGGACCCTCTGGGGGGTGCTGCGTGGAGTTGGGCTGTGTGTGGGGGGGATGCTGCTGTGACCACAGTTGCTCTGGTGTGATGGGGCCGGGGTGGGGGAAGTGACCCCCTCTGCGGGGTGAAATGGGACGGTCGGATCAGGCCACAGGAAGTACCTGAGGATGCGCAGGAGACCCTCAGCAGCCCCTGCTCTAGGCCTGGCTGCTCTCTGATTGCTGCCCCACATGGGGGGGGGGATCCAAGCTTCTACACCAGGCACCTCCACTGTTGTGCCCTGGGAACCCGGGTGGACGCTACGGACACGTCATAGACACCTAGTTCACGGTCATATCCACGCACAGTCGGCAGTTACATAGCGACACAGATTCCTGGCCCCATATAGTCCCTGCACACGGAACTGTGCGTCTGCCTGTCATGTAGGCCCTGCACAGACACCCAATTCCCAGGCACAAAAACACAGCTCTACACTGCACAGGTTACACAGTGATGTGGTCACACGATCTCTCAGACACAGAATTCATAATCACACAGACAGGTACTGCCACAATCACACACTGTGGCAGAAACACACGGGAACACACAACCACTCACAAACCCACGATGATGCAGTAATGCACACACCTATACATCAGACACAACCATTCATGGCGCTGTAGAAAACCTACCACCTTACATATGCAGGCCCCCTGTCACTGTCACAGTTTGTAAGTGCTCACGCAATTGCACAGCTACCAATGCCCAACTGTAGGGGGCACGGCCAGTCAAAGACAACCCTGCCAACGTGGAATCTAACACTCTGATAGTGAAAAGCGCAAACCCTGCCCAGATGTAGACACATTACCACAAACCCACAATCAGAGTTGGTGCATCACAAACGCATCGCACAAAAAGGCAAAATATTATCATGTGCCACAAAGGGAGCGGGGAAGCAAGTAATATAAAAGCCAGCTCAATGCACCCACTAAGATGGCCATGTAGAGAGAAATTGGAACCCCGTAAACTGCTGGTGGGAATGGAAAATGCAGCTACTGTGGAAAAGTCTGATGATTCTTCCAAAAGTTAAACAATCCAAAAGTTGGACAAGAGTTACCATATGACCCAGCAATTCCACTCCCAGCTTTATATCCCAAAGAATTGAAAACAGGTAGTCAGGGATGCCTGGGTGGCTCAGTTGGTTAAGTGTCTGCCTTTGGCTTGGGTCATGATCTGTGGGTCCTGGGATGGAGCCCCACATCGGGCTCCTCGCTCAGCGGGGAGCCTGCTTCTCCCTCTGCCTCACTCCCCTGGCTTGTGCTCTCTCTGATAAATAAATAGATAAAATCTTAAAAAAAAAAAGACATAAAGATTAGTGGCTTCCAGGGGGCAGGGGAAGGAGGAATGGGGAGTGACTGCTAATGGGTACAAGGTCTCCTTTTGGGGTGATGGAAATGTTCTGGAATTAGATAGAGGTGGTGGTTGCACAACATCGTGAATGTGCTACATGCCAGTGAATTTTTCACTTTAAAATGGTTCATTTATGGAGGCACCTGGGTGGCTCAGTTGTTAAGCATCTGCCTTCGGCTTGGGTCATGATTCCAGGGTCCTGGGCTCGAGCCCCACATCGGGCTCCCCGCTCAGCGGGAGGCCTGCTTCTCCCTCCCCCACTCCCCCTGCTTGTGTTCCCTTTCTTGCTGCCTCTCTCTGTCAAATAAATAAATAAAATCTTTTAAAAAAATGCTTCATTTATGTTATGTGAATTTTGCCTCAATAAAATAAAACGGCTGGGATTAGTGGGTTCCTGGAGAAGAAATCAGAGTCTTTCTTGGGGAGAGATCTCCTTGGTTTGGGATGAGGCACTAAACAGGCCTGTGTGGCTCTAAAATGGGAGGCAAGGGGGGGGGGATTTGGCTGGACGCATTTGTCCCCTAGGAGCCTGTGGCCAGGAGGGATGATGGACTTCCCAGTGTGACAAGGCCTGAAACTCAGTTTGGGTTTCCTGGTGTGGATAATGACATCACCCTCTGACACCCACACCAGCTTCAGGGTAGGGAGCTTTGGGAAAGGAAGGAGGTGGGGGAGAGAGGCCACTGGCTGCAGGAGAAGGGAGGTGACCGGAAGAATGAGAGCCATGCAAAATCAGGGACATCTCAGGGTGGTGATGGAATCCCTACTGTGTGAGGAGGAGGGCTCAAACTGTTTTATATGGATGTTAAGGGCAAGAAGGGCCCAGAAAGTGGGAGGGTCTAGGGACACCCAGGCTCCAGGCACTTGGGGACAGGCAGGCCAGTGATCACATTCAGAACACAATCCCACTGTTACTCCCAGCACACTCATTCAGAGATGATATGTGAGGTAGAACATGATATACACACAATTAGCTAGAATGTCGATGTGGGAAGACGTGTTCCTGGTGGGCAGGGAGGGGCCTGGCCTGGGAACCAGGCTCTGCACTTGGCCTATGGTAACCTTGAGCAAGATCATTCTGCTTTCTGGGCCTTACTATCCCCACCTGGAAAAAGGCCATGTCATGCTAGATATGTGCCTTTTAGATACAGCGATGGTCAAGCACAGTGCACCCAGATTCAAATGCACATCACACAAATGCTCATCAAAGTGACCTAAGTGAGCATAGCCACTCACTCAGGCATATACTCATATCACACTCACAGTCCTGTCCAAGTGCACACAGACCAAATCACACTGACACATGGAGGTAGACAACCACACAGACATACACACAAATATCCAGTCATGTTGTCACAAAAATAATAGCCACACCTAGAGAGAAAACCATCACAACACAGAATCATACATACAGACACACGATCGCACAGAATACCATTACACAAGCTTACAACTACACAGACAAGAAAGCACAAAGACATTCAGGCACACAGCCACAGCCAGTTACAATGGTACACAACCGCCCACAGACAATCGCCCCACAAAGTCGTAGGCACACCCACATACAGATACATAGTCAGTCCCGCACAATCACAGACCTAGGTGCAAGAAGCAACAGCGCACGGAAATCACTACAAGTCACACACACCGTCGCTCAGGGCTACATGTGCTTCCTGGGATGGACTAGCAGCTAGGTTGGGCTGAGTTCGCCCACTGGAGCCCCCCCTCTCCCCCTGCTCCCCACAGCAGCCATTAGAGGAGACATCAAGGTCTGCCCTCCAGGCTCCCAGGACTCATTTTTCTTGTGCCTCAGTTTCCTCTTTTAACTCCAGAATTCCTCCGGACACGGCCCCTGCAACTGACCAATCAAGCGTGGGCCAAGCCCCCTCCTAGGGCCAATCAGGACAGGAACACAGCCGGCCAATTGGCTTGGCGCACTCACCTTCCGCCCCTTTCCTGTTCTGCTTCTTAAAGCCTCTAACATGCCTTGGCCTGGGCTCTCACGTCTCCACAGGCAAGGCTGCCGTGGCCCTTTTAAAAGGCAGAGCCGAGGAGGAGCCGGGTCTTCGCACACACCAATGAGAAGCCCCATTCGGCATCCGCCCCTCCCACCCCCTCCAGAGGTCAAAAGATTTTGCCAGTCTTACTGTGGACTGTACGGTGAGCCGGGAGGCGCCAGGTAAGCACCCGCGAGAGGGGCGAGAGGGGTGAGTGGCGCCAGGGCCCGGGCCTGCCGGTGGGAGCCACTCCGCTCTGACGCCCCTGCTCCCCCAGGTTGGCCGTGGTTGCTCCGCTTGCCCGCCCGCTGCCCAGATGGCCTTGAGAAGGGTCTCCGAGCGGCTGTTGAGCCGTGGACCAGGCCTGAGCTTCCTGCACGGGTGGGGCTCGGCGGCGGCGCAGACTGGTCAGTGCCGGGTCGGGGGCAGGGTGGGGAGGGTGGAACTGGAGGCGTGGGGGACTTTTCCGGAGTGACTTTTCCGTCCTGTGTTTGCAGAAAAGGGCGGGAAGACACAGAACCGAGCGACTAAGTGTAAGGACCCCTCCTTGCGCCGGGCGTCTGTGGCCCTTGTCCAACTGTCTGCCCAGGGTGGGCTCTGTCCCAGAATCCGAGGGCTGCCCTGGAGGGGAGGCAGGGCGTGGCAAGGGCCAGAGGCTTCCCGGAGAAGTGCCGTCTTGCCAGTGCTCTTTACTGCCCACATCCACCAGGAGCCAGTTGGGAGTGGCGGAGTGGGGCTGAGGATTCCAGGAGAGGAGGGTGCGGTGGTCGGGTGGGCTGGGCCGAGTCAAGCCCCCTCCCACTCTCTGCTCCCTGTCCCAGCCTCGCGTCCTGAATTTGACTGGAGAGACCCGCTGGTGCTGGAGGAGCAGCTGACAGCGGATGAGATCCTCATCAGGGACACCTTCCGCACCTATTGCCAGGAGCGCCTCATGCCCCGAATCCTGCTGGCCAATCGCAACGAAGGTGCTCCGGCGGGCGGGTGGGCACCCTCCACTGTGCACACCAGCTCTCCCTGCTTTAGCTGGGTCCCGGGCCCCTTCTGTCCCTGAGATGGGGGCTCCACTGGGCTAGGGCTGGGCCTGAGTTTGGGCATCCGTCTTTTCCAGTTTTTCACCGGGAGATCATCTCAGAAATGGGGGAGCTTGGTGTGCTGGGCCCCACCATCAAAGGTAGGGACAGATTTATCTCCACACTCTGCAGTCCCCACTGTGTCCTGGAAAGCCCCTTCTTATCCCTGAGCCTGAGTTTCCCAGTCTGCAAAGTGAGGCTGTTAGTTATCCCTCCATCTGAAAGTGGCTGTGAGGAAAAATGAATAAACCTTCAAACTAGGGCCAGCTTGGTGCCCCCTCCTTGGGCACCCCTATAGAGCTCTGTCTCTTGGGCCCCAGGAATCACACTGGTTCCAGCTGGGCAGGACTTTGTCTCCCATTGCCCTGTCTTCCCTCCCTCTTGCCCCCCGACCAGGGTATGGCTGTGCTGGAGTCTCATCTGTGGCCTATGGGCTCCTAGCCCGAGAGTTGGAGCGGGTGGATAGTGGCTACAGGTCAGCAATGAGTGTCCAGTCTTCCCTTGTCATGCACCCCATCTACGCCTATGGCAGCAAGGAGCAGCAGCAGAAGTACCTGCCCCGGCTGGGTGAGCAGTTGCCCGTAGAGCCTGGGGAAGGAAGACCGCCACGGTGGTCTGGAACTTAGGAATGGGACTGTCCCCAGAGCCTGCCTTCTGTCCCCACCTCAAGGATAGCCCCAGTGGCCACCCAAATCCCCTGCCAGACCGTGGGCCTCACCCCTACCTCTGATCCTGACTGACCCGTCCTAGGTCTCTCTTGACTCTGCCCTCTTCTTACCACCACCATCTCCCTCCCGATTTGCTGTGTTCCCCCACCCCAGCCCAAAGTTTAAAGTCTTAATTTCTTGACTGGGTCCACAAGGCCCCCCATGAGTAGGCAGGCCTCTGCTGACCATTCCACCTCATCTCTGGCCATTCTCTTGACTGCTCCTCCTCAGCCAGACTCAGCTACTTGGCATTCTCCAAATGTACCACTGTGCCTTTGCACATCTGTACCCTCACTGGAACCACTCTTCTCCACCCTTCCTCCTCCTGCTTAACTCCTTTTCACTGCCTTCAAGACAGATTATCTCTTTCCTGACTCCTGTGGGGCCCCTCCCCATCATGGCATTGTTACTGTGGCCGGGGGGAGGAGTGTCCCTGCACACCACCACCACCTGAGAGTGCCATGGGGACAGAGTTGGGTCTGCCTTTGGCCTGGCTTGATGGGGAGGCTGACAATTTTCATTTGAGGAGATGAGTGGGGGACAGGCAGACTTGTGACCCTGTCTTGTCCCTGCAGCCAAGGGGGAGCTCCTGGGCTGCTTTGGGCTCACAGAGCCCAACCATGGGAGTGACCCTGGCAGCATGGAGACCAGAGCCCACCACAACCCATCCAACAGGAGCTACACCCTCAATGGGACCAAGACCTGGTGAGGGGTCTGGGTGTCTCAGGCAGGTGGGCAGGGGCAGGGGGGAGGCGGCCAGACCCTCACTGCCTGTCCCTCCCCCCAGGATCACCAATTCACCTGTGGCCGACCTGTTTGTAGTATGGGCTCGGTGTGAAGACAGCTGCATTCGGGGCTTCCTGCTGGAGAAGGGGATGGGGGGCCTCTCAGCCCCCAAGATTGAGGGCAAGTTCTCCCTGCGGGCCTCGTCCACAGGCATGATCGTCATGGACAGTGTGGAGGTGCCGGAGGAGAATGTGCTGCCTGATGTATCTGGTCTGGCGGTGAGCAGCGGCCACCTTGGGAACTGGTATCAGGTCACCTGCTGGTTCAACTTCCTTGGGCAGGCCCCATGCTGGGGACCCAGTCCCTGTGCTTGCGGAGCCCACACACAAGTGATTCTGAGAGCTTCTGCCTGGCTCACTGATGTTTGGAAATTGCCCCTTCGGGGTGACTATTTGCTTATGCTGGCTCTGCCGAGGACACATACAGGCCTGAACCAGTTTAATCCTTTGATACATGTGCATCTTTCTGTCTCCTTACATCATCCCCTAGATCTGGGCATCCAACCCATATCCTGGGCTGGGTAGACTTGTGTGTGCATGAGCTTTGGTGCCAGGACCTTGTGTGATTGAAATGGCTGCCCTGAATCCCTCTGGATTATAGTGACTGCACGTCTGGGGAGGGGGCTTCCCCCAACGTAAGTTAGTTCTGCCCAGGGCCTCTCAGCTCCTGGGTGTGCTGAGGCCTCTCTCTTGACCCTACAGGGGCCCTTCGGCTGCCTGAACAATGCCCGGTTTGGCATCGCCTGGGGCGTGCTCGGAGCCGCTGAATTCTGTTTGCACACGGCCCGGCAGTACACCCTGGATAGGTGTGTGGGGCTGCCATGAGATCTCTTGGGAGGTGTGGAGGGGGCACGGGCTCCGTCCCTTACCCTACCAGTGACTCCTCCTCCCCTGCCTACCAGACTTAAGTTCCCCACTCGGTGAAATGGCCGGGGAAGTCCTTGAGCAGTGAGGGGCTGACTGCTTGGTGACATTGGTGATACTGAGCAGTGACAGGGCGAGGGTGAACTCAGTGAGGACTGAGGCAGCCTGGGAAGGCTTCCTGGACTGGGGGGGTGAACATGTCCACACTTACCCTGAACTTGCCCACTTAGGATCCAGTTTGGCGCCCCACTGGCCAGGAACCAGCTGATTCAGAAGAAGCTGGCAGACATGCTCACTGAGATCACGCTGGGCCTTCACGCTTGCCTGCAGCTTGGCCGCTTGAAGGATCAAGACAAGTAGGGGCTGTGTGTTGGGGGAGCTGGGGGCAGGCAGCAAGGAGGGGACCCTGTGCCCCTCCTGGACGTGGTGGTGGCTGGTCCTGGGGAGAAAGGTCTTTCGTGCCTGGGGGCCCCTTGGGGACCTGTCCCTTCTTTCCCTCTTGGCCTTGATGGGACAGGACTGACTGCCTGTCCCTTACTGGGAGCTCAGTGTCTGCTGCTGTGACTATAACTTGGGGAATTTTCTCCCCTGGCTGGGTTTGCCCAGGGCTTAGGGATGCCTGGGGTCAGTTGTGATCCCATACTTGTGTGACATGTCTCTGCCACTCCCAGGGCCACTCCGGAAATGGTCTCCCTGCTGAAGAGGAATAACTGTGGGAAGGCCCTGGATATCGCCCGCCAGGCCCGAGACATACTAGGGGGGAATGGGATTTCTGATGAGTATCATGTGATCCGGCATGCCATGAACCTGGAGGCTGTGAACACCTATGAAGGTAGGGGCTGGGTCTCTGGGGGGAGGAGTGTCACAGTGGCCTCACTGTCTAGAGAAGAAGGGTGGGGACAGCACGCCTGAGTCCTGCTCCCAGCTGTCATCACTAGCAGTGTGACCTGGGGCAAGTCCCGCCCGTGTTCTTCATCTGGAGTGGCTCACAGAGGGACTGGGGAAGTGAAATGCTCTCAGTCCTTTCCCCCATGGTGATTGGGAGGAGGGGTGCTCCCCAGATTGCTTTACTATCTCCTCGGGCATCCCCGGAGTGGGGCACAATGCCTAGTGAGCTGGTGGGTGCCAGGGAGCAAAAGTGCAGCTACACACAGGAATCACCACTCCATTTTATGTTAAGAGGAAAAAGAGAAATCATTGTCAGGCTGTGGTGTCTGCACCTGGCGACTGGTTGTAACTTGCATGGGGCCCAAAACCCCTTTCCTCACGGGAAAACAGACATGGAAAAAGACAATTAAAAAAAAAAAAGTACAATCTTGTGTGAGCCAGGCAGAAAGAGGGAGAGATGTAAAGGGGTACAAGTGCTCATCTTGGGGAGGAAGTGGGACCACGTTAGGCCTGAAGGGAAGTGTAGCAGCTTGGGCAGAGACAGTGAAATAGCTTCTGTGTGCTATTATGGATGGGACATTCCAGAAACAGCAAGAGGGAGGGTTGGGGTTGGGGGGATCCTACTGGTGTGGGAATGACCCTGAGGACAAGCAGAGGGGGGCCTTCAGGGAGTTTTATGCAGGGGAGGGATGGGGTCAGATTTGCACTTTGGGAAGTAAACATAATTATTTTGCTCCATAAAAGGGAGGTAGTAATCTCGTCCACCCCGTTCAACTGAGGAAGAGCAAAGGAGAGCACTGAGGCTTGTAAAATGTTACCCAGACTTGAGAGTGAGATGGGGGGTGGCGGCTTTAGGATGGGGGAGATCAGCTGGGACGAGCAATTTATCTGATGTTTGCTTTCCCATCACTTCTGTAGGTAAGAAAGGGCCTGACATATCTCCACAGAGCTCATCAGCTTTCTCAACCTCTGTGAGAAAGAAGCGTGAACGGGTTGAAAATCAAACGTTTAACCAACTGTGCAGGGTTGGGTGGGGTGAATCTGCCAAGTGTGGAGAGCACCAAAGCTGGGCCCATTGCCAGGGCTGGACTTGAAGTTTTGGGTCTAGCACAAGGGTTCTAGGGCTTTTTTTTTTTTTTTTGGCCAAGATGCATTACAGAACTGTGAAAAACAATTTTCTCGGCATGGCCCAAATGGTGGCCTCTTAGCCTTCTCTTGGTGGCTGTCAGCAAGAGGGGACTCTCTCCTGGTAGCTCTCAGCATTCGCCATCTTTGTGGGCCTGTTCTTCTTCCAAAGTAGTAGCCTAGGGGGAGGAGGGACACGAAGATTGACTTTAAAGGGAGGTTGTGAGCTGTTCAGACTCCAAACCAACTCTGTATTTATCTTGTCCAGGCACTCATGACATTCATGCTCTGATCCTTGGAAGGGCAATCACAGGGATCCAGGCGTTCACGGCCAGCAAGTGAACATACTTCACCCGGGAGCCCAGATGGTCTCAAGCTCCTTCCCAGGGAAATGCTGTGCTCTGAGCTTACTCAGGGAGGTGGCAGATGGAGCCAATTTTTATAGTGGGAAGTGAGAGACACTGATTCTTAATTATCAAAATTTTCCCTTTGAAGTCATTCAAATGTGTTCCTTAAAAAGGAGATGGGACTCTCTGTACCAAGTTTCTCAACCCACTTTTAACCGTGGACGGGGATGGATTCCACTTATCTTGGAACAGAAGCTTCTCTTGACAGGGGAGCAGGAAGAGGGAAGGAGAGTGACATGGAAACAACCTCTGGTGTCTGACTGAGCAAATCCCCCACACACCAAGAGTTCACTGTGTGCCCTCTGACCCTCCCATCTTGAGGGTAAGTGCCTTACGCTGGATGTTGGAGCAGAATGAGAGTGAAAGAGAGAATAATAAAGTCTGCATGTCTGACCCCAAGGTGTGGGCCACATTTAATTGTAACCACCCACAAAGTCATTTCAGTCACAGGAAAAATGTGGGAACTGTGAGGTGACTGGATATGTGGTAGGGATTTCTCCCTTAAGTAGTGTGGCCCGTGTCAGAGTCTTGGGCTCTGCTGTAATAACCCTGGATAGGCACTGACCGGGGCTTAGGGCTGTAGACACTGTCCTTTCTGTCCTGTCACCACAGAGCTGACCACACAGTGGTGGGAAATAACAACTGTCTAGCTTCTCAGCTCAGACACACCGCCTCAGAGGGAGCCTGGGGCCACGGGCGAGGTGGCAAGAGCATCAAGGGTTTTGCAGTGATAGTGGCCCCTGTGGGGTTTAGGGCTGGACACGGCGCTAACATCCTTGGTTTGTGCTGACATTTCCTTTCGTCTTAGCCTTCTTCAGGTGGCACCCACATGCATGCATTTAGTCATACCTCAGGCTGGATGCACAGGTCTTTGTACACTGTCTCCACGGTGTGGCACACTTGTTTGAGCTCTGTTTCCAAATTGCTGATCTTTGTCATTTTCTGGGTGAACTCTTGGAGCTTGTCCTGAATGATCTTGTTATGGTGATTATAAATCTGATACATCCTCTCCTCTAGCTTTTCTGTCAGGTCTGAAACCTTTTAAAAAATAGAGCATGTTTTATTTACGAGGCATCATAAGACATTTGTTTTAAGTGGCTTGCTAAGATTTCTGCAACTTATTTTATTTATTTATTTTTAAAGATTTTACTTATTTATTTGACAGACAGAGACACAGCGAGAGAGGGAACACAAGCAGGGGGAGTGGGAGAGGGAGAAGCCGGCTTCCCGCCAAACAGGGAGCCCAATGCGGGGCTCGATCCCAGGACCCTGGGATCATGACCTGAGCCGAAGGCAGATGCTTAACGACTGAGCCACCCAGACGCCCCTGCAATTTATTTTATAAAAATGGTAAAAACAATTCCAGTGACTGGAAGTGAAATTGCCTATATATTGATTTTATTTTTTTTTTAAAGATTTTATTTATTTGACAGAGAGAGAGATAGCAAGAGAGGGAACACAAGCAGGGAGAGTGGGAGAAGGAGAAGCAGGCTTCCCGCAGAGCAGGGAGCCCGATGCGGGGCTCGATCCCAGGACCCCAGGACCTAATGGCTGAGCCAACCAGGTGCCCCTTGATTTTTTTTTTTAAAAGGAAGATACAAAATTATGTATATAGTACAGGCTCAGACAGGTTAGAAAGAAAATACGCAATGGAAACCAGAAGAAAACATGTGACAAAGTAGCCTCTGAGTAGTGAGATCATAGGAATGTTTTCTATCTTTTCTGCTATGTTATACTCTTCTCTACTTTCTAAGTTTTCTCTGATGTACCAGGTGTGTACTGGTAGGGATGGGAGGAGGGAGAAGGGAAAAAAGTCAGCCTGTCATTGAAAGATGCATAATATGTGTCCCATATGTGACCAACAAGCTGTCCCACTCATAGGATTCATTATGCATTCTGAAGAAACATCCAGGACAATCATTAATGTTGGACCTGAACATAATATCTGGCTTTGTTAGTAGACACTTTAAGGCCCCGCCATGTCAAGGGAACCTTACCCTCCCATCACGAACCATTCCACTTTCTTTTTTTTTTTTTGGAAAGATTTTTTTTTTTTTTTAAAGATTATTTATTTATTTATTTATTAGAGAGTGAGCAGGAGAGAAACAGCATGAGAGGGGAGAGGGTCAGAGGGAGAAACAGGCTCCCCGCTGAGCTGGGAGCCCGACGTGGGACTCGATCCCAGGACCCTGGGATCATGACCTGAGCTGAAGGCAGTCGCTTAACCAACTGAGCCACCCAGGCGCCCAAGATTTTTGTTTTTAAGTAATTACTACACCCCACGTGAGGCTCAAGCTCACAACCCTGAGATCAAGAGTTGCATGCTCTGGGGCGCCTGGGTGGCTCAGTTGGTTAAGCGACTGCCTTCGGCTCAGGTCATGATCCTGGAGTCCCTGGATCGAGTCCCGCATCGGGCTCCCTGCTCGGCGGGGAGCCTGCTTCTCCCTCTAACCCTCCCCCCTCTCATGTACTCTCTCTCTCTCTCAAATAAATAAATAAATCTTTAAAAAAAAAAAAAAGAGTTGCATGCTCTACCGACTGAGTCAGCCGGGTGCCCCACATTTCTGGAGGACAAATGGGTGTGACAATGCAGGCTATGCCTCAGCCCCTACTCCCATGGCCATCAGCCCTGGCATGAAATAAGAGGGGTGGGCTGTGGTTGCAGATGGACCCTTGTTCCTCATCCTGGCTCTTTCATTTGGGCAAATTATTTCCAAACCTTACTTTACCATCTATAAAATGGGTCTGATCTCTTGGCAGGACTGTTGTAAGGGGGAAATGAGGTACTATTTGCAGCTTGCTGAGCAACAGGCCTAGAGCCTCAAAGACACTCAGCAGCAGCTCATTCCCTTCCTTTTTCACCCTTTACATAGGACTCCTTCCCCCTGACCCCTGGGGCTTTGCAGTGTGTGGGAGAATCTGTCACCTTGATCTTGAGGCTGTCCCTGAAGTTGGTCATGAGTGCGTGGTCCTTCTGTCTGCTCTCATTGATGTTTTCAATCAGCTCCTGGGCCCTCTTCTTCAGGATGTCGATGTTTGACTCCAGAGAGGAAAAGTAGGATACTGACTTCCCTTCTAGCATCATCAGCCGGCGGTTGGCACTGGAGGTGGCGATAGAGGGGCTAGAAACCTGACTTCTGAAAGTACAGGAAACTGAGGTCAACACCGAACTCTCCCAAGAGTGCTGATCTGAATTAGCTCTATGATGGGAGGGGAACCAGTGTTGTGTGTCTCCTGTGGGTGACGCTTGCTTATTTCATTCACACACTGCCCTGAGAAGGCAGGGACAGCATCTCCATTTTATAACTGAGGAAACAGAACCAGAGGTACAAACAAAATCCACCTAAAGTTCCAGAACAGGGGTATCTGCTGGACTCCAAAGCCCACTATCATGTTATTACACCAACTTGTTGCTTTGAAATGAGTGTCAGTTATACTCTTTATAGTATATCAACAACTATAGATTTGGGCAAAGATTACGTTAGGTGTAGAGCCTACTTTAAATAAAATATTTAAAAACAAAGAAGTGGAAATTGTGGGTAATGCAATATGAATGAAACTTCTGCAAAAAAAAAAAAGTTGCACTCTTATTAGCAGACCCCTTGGTGTTTTAAATTAAGATAAAATGTTTAAGGTACATCTTCCTCCCTCCCTCCCTCCCTTCCTTCTTCTTTCTTTCTTTTTTTTTTTTTTGTTCTGTATCTCTGCTTTATTTGATCTGTAAGCACTCTGTCTGTCAGGCACGGTGCTAAGCTGCACACCTTGTCTTGCTGCATCCTCTTGACCATGGTTTGGGGTTGGTCCACTCAATCATCTTTACCTACCTCATAGCTGAGGACGCAGAGTTGGTGTGTCACTCTCCCAGGGTCACTGGCCAATGTGTGATAGAGCTGGGTGTGGCACCCAGCTGGCCTGACTCCCCAGCCCATGTCCTGCTGCCCCTGGGTCCTCAGTTTCTTTGCCCTCTGAGGTCCTTCCAGCTCTTAATGGCTGCAACTCAGAGGTGCCAACAGAACAGTTCCTGTATACACCAGTTCACAAGCAACCGTAAAGTTGGCCAAGACCACAAGCCAGGCACTGATTATTCAGAAAATTACATCTTGATTTTGGGATGCTTTCTCCATAAAACTATTTTTCTTGGTGGTTTCCTGACTGCCTAAGCTCTTCCTTTTGGTTCAGGATACAAGCACAGTAAAACCCCTGAGCACAGGAGCCTGGGTGGCCAGTTCTTGTCTGCATGAAAGTTCTCAGGTCCAAGACTTCAGCTGCGTCCTGGTCCTTGAGTACTCCTTGCCAGATCGCTTCCTACCTCTGTGGCTTTGTGCTTGCTCTCTGACTTGACCTGTGAGACCGAGCCCACACCAATGCTTCCCTTGAGAAGCTGTCCATGACCCTGTGCCTGTCTCTATCACTGCATGTGCTTGTCACAGATTCTATCCCTATCTCCCCAGAAGGCTGTGTCCTGTTTATCTCTGAATTCCCAGCACTCACCACATAGTAAATCTTCCATTGTTTGTTGAATGAATGAAGGACGCCTTCCATCTGATCTATTCCGCCCTCCTCTGGCCTCATACAAAGCATGCAAGTTCATCAGCCTCCAAGGCAAGACACATGTGTGTGGTCAAGGCATTTATCAAGACGGGAAAGTGTGTCTCTGAGACAGATAATCTATAGCAAAGACTTACGTCAGCTAGAAAACAATAGACAAACTAAAGCCTTCCTGAGCATTCAGGACAAAGGTTCACTAAGGAGTTTATGGCCTCCTAGCTTGCAATTACTGCTTTCCTACAGGGAAGTGAGGCAGAAGGAGATTAATTCAGACCTGGGACACATATTTTCTTTTTTTCTTTCTTTTTTTTTTATGATTTTATTTTTAAGTAATCTCTACACCTGACTTGGGGCTCAAACTCACAACCTCGAGACCAAGAGTCCCATGCTCTACTGACTGAGCCAGCCAGGCCCCCTCACCCCACACACTGACAGTTTAACTTTCAGACTTCTGTAACATTTGGATGCATGTGAAAAAACACAAAGTGGATGGCTCTTGAAAAGACAGCCATGCTTTGCATGATGATAATGGAATTGTGGACATGGGTTCAAGAAAACCTTTTGTTTGACTTCCTTGAGACCTCAGCACTGACTGCCCTCCTGTTCAGCCTAAACCAGGGGCTCTATCACTACAGTCTTCAGCTGGGGGCCTCAGCCCCCTTCCCTTCACCCCTGTGTCACACCCACACCAAAACCCCACCCTGGCTCTCCATAACCAAGCATCGTATCTTTTCTCAAACTTAGGAACTTGAATGACACTGGAGGAAATAATGATCCTGTGAACAGGGTCACTGCAGAGTCTAGCTCTCTAGCCTCTGGGAGGTCCTCAAGGTCACTGGGCATCCTGTCTGTGCTCTGGTCACCTCCTTCTCTCATTCTTACCAGCCATTCCAAACCTTCATAATTCTCCTGTCCCTGACTGCACACTTGCCTCCCCTCACCCTGAGGAGATACAGAAATAGTGCAGGCCAATAACTTCCTCCACTGCCCCCCCAACAAATGGATCCACAACCACCCTTCCTCTTTCCAAACTCCCTATTTGGCAGGCAGGAAAAGGGTTCCATGCCTCTGTGGGGCTTCCAATCCCATTCCCCTCTGTACCTCACCCTCTTCTTGTACCTTTGACCTCTCCCTTGGGCTGACCCATTCCGGGACATGTCATCCTCAGTTTTACATTTTAAAACAGCACACATATACACACCCCTCCCCTCAAACACGAGGTATCCCTCAGCCAGCCTCCTCCTTCTTTCCTCCCCTTCACAGACATGTAGCTCTTCTAGAAAGAGCTGCTGGCACTTTCTGAGCACATTTTCTCACCTCTCACTCTCTTCTCCGCCCACTGGTTCCTACGCCAGTTATCAAATGAAGCGTCTCCTGCCAAGGTCCCCAGTTGCACCTGGCAGACCGTAATTCCCTTGACCTACTGGCTGCAGCTGGTGCTACTGACCACCCTTCCCTGCCATTCCCAACAGGTCAGCGTTCCCAGGCTCTGTTGCTGGCCTTGCTCTCTTCTCTTCACACCATTGCTCACCCCATCGTTCACACCCTTGCTTTGAAGCCAGGACCCCCAAACCTCTTCCCTACTGGCCTTTCCTGAAAACCCCCACCCACCACCTCACAATGTATAACCTGTCATTCCCCAAAGGCACCCTTGTAGCCAGTCCTTTTTCCTGCCTATATCCTGCCTCTTCTAGAAAGTCTTCCCTGGCTGAGTTACATGCACACAGCACCTACAGTGTAAGGGCCTGCACCTCAGCCTCCCCATGTAGTCTCTGGGAGGACTGGGCCATGTGTCACTCATCTTCATGTCCATAATACCTACGCCTCATGATAGGAGTAATAAAGGGGCATGGAATGAATGAATGAATGAATGACTAGCAAGGCTTTCAATACCATCCACCTTCCACAACCCCCAAGTTCATCCTCTGCCCATACCTGTCTCCTGAGCTCCCAACAATGTATCTGACTACCTCCAGGCCCTCTCCACTTGGCTGTCCCAGAGGCATCTCAAACTCCAAATAGGCATACCGACATCGCCATACTCCTTCCCCTTCTATGAATGACACCAAAAGCCCCCTGGTTCCCATGCCAGAAACTTAACAGTTAGCCTGGAGTCCAGCTTCTCTCTGTCCGCCACATCATGTCAGAAAATCCTCCCTTCCACCCCCTTAATCTCTCCCAAACCTATCATCTCCTCTCTACCTAATCACTTGCAACTCCACACCTATCATTTCTCACCTGGTCTCTAGGGACCTTCGAAACTGCAATCTGATGTCCTACTCCTGCTTGACAGCCTGAGAGCCCCCACCTGCCACAGGATCAAGTAAACTCCCTCACACAGCACACAAGGCCTTCCAGGGCCCTGGCTGCCACCTTCCCTTTCCACCCTCCACTCTGAGCAATTTGGAACATTTCCCATCACCAAACCCATTAGCCATTGCCTGAAATGACTTTCCCTTCCTGCAACTTCACCATTCGGAGTTTCTGCTAGTGCAGCCCCACAGCACCTCCGCTTACTAATCACAACACTGCCACGGTTTACACACATTGGTTCCTTCCAGGACACTGTGCACGCTCAGGGTAGGGACGGCATTCTATGCATCCCAAAGGCGCACAAATATTCACTGAATATATAAAGGAATGAACTTCTTCCAGAGCCATGTGTAACATTCCCACTCACAAACCTCCTTGTACCCACAGTTGCTTTGTCCCAACTGTGTAAGGATCTGAATTTAAAATCAATGATAAAAACAGGTGCTTCTTTTTTATGCAATTGCTAACAACCTGCTTGCACTGCTAACAGTTCAAAGTCGCTCCTTTCTCAGGCTCCAGGGATGAGGCTGGAATGGTTTTCATGGCAGCTATGAAAATGGTGAAAAATCACTTGAATTCATCTCATTCAAATTTTGTTGTGGTACAAGGGCCTGCATCAGATGTCTGCAGAGAGCTTCTTGATTTTTTCCAACCTCTCCTTTGGGGATTTCTTTCTTTCCATTTCATTTTTCTTAATACTCAGCAGCTGCATATTCATCAGGATGCTAATGAATCACAGGCTTCCCTGGGCCTGCATTCACCAATTAACTTCAATAAACAAAATGCACGATGTCCTCTTCACTGGTTTCCTCCATTCCCAGACCTGCTTCTGTTGCCCAACCCTGGATGGGGGCCAGCAAATGGAAGTAGGCCCAACAAAGCAGGCCGGGTGTGTATGGCCCCATGGAGGGGTCCAGCAGGGGGGGCTTTGGGGTGGGGGTTGTGAACACTTCACCACGCTCATCTATTATAGTCTATCCTTCTAAGGAGTCCCTAATTCAGCTGCGAGGATTAGGACATAGTTTCTGAGCAGGGCCCATGCTGGCAGGGGGCCCGGGTACGGTGAGGAAATGGGTCTAAGTGAAGAGACCATCTGTTCACTCCAGGTAAAGCTGTGATTGGCAGGCGTATGAGCCAGAGCCACCCGCTGGTGGGGCCCTCCCTCCGTGGCCTCTAACAGATATACAAGTAAACAAGCCGCCAGCCACTTACGACCACCGCAGGCGGCAGTCCCAGGAGGGAGACAAGCTAATCAAACATTCAAGGAGGAACACAACAGAATCTCTGGTGCTTGGGCGAAATGAGGTTTTGCTGAAGTACAGCCAGGAAGGGGGAAGGGGAAGGTTTGAATCAAAGCTACTGAGCCCGTTCCTCACCCTCTGCTTTTCTTTCCCGAAATGTGTTCACATTTTAATCATGTCGCAGAGTGTCTGCTGCTGGATCTATTAATTGGCCCTTGCACTGGTTCTAATCCATCTGTTTTTTCAGCCCAAAGCTCTAGTGGAACTCCTTGAAGTCTTTAATATGCAATTGTCTATGTCTTTTTGCCACTTATATCCAGGTCTAAATACCCTATTTGCAGGAAGATGATATCAAACAAATGACTGCAGTCATTTCCTTCTTTTTTCTGGTCTCCAATTGATAGTACACACCTAGAAACCATTCCACCTTGTAGTCTGCTTTACAACTGAGGAATCTGGAGGTCGGGGGAAGCTGGCTTTATACCTAGTCCTCAGGGCCCTGTCCTGAGCCTGGCCTTGTCTCACTCCTTCCCCAGGTGAGTTCATTCACCCCACAGCTGCCACTGAAACAGTGACTCCCACGGTGCCATCTCCAGCCCCTTGTCCCACCCTGAGTTCCAGGTCAGCAAGTCCAACTGTATGCTGGACATGTTCATATGCATGTCCCCAGTCACCTCAAGCTCAATAAGGGCAAAATGGAACTCATGTTCTTGCCTCTGCCACGGAAACCATTACTTGCTGGAAACCAGTCCAAAGTGGGGAGAAAGAGGTGTGCTAGTAAACATTTAGCAAGTGGCTCTCCGTGGGGGAGAAAAAAGGCCTGATTTGTAGTGTTTGCCAATTTCCACGGTGCAAACTCCCACTATAGCCAATCTCAAGCTACCAACATAAAATGGCTAAATGCTATATTGGGAAGAGCTGTGTAGAACTGGCTCTTGTGAGCTGGGAGGAGCCCGCTCCAGCACAACACAGCAGGGGTATCCCTGCTGCCAACACTATGCCTGACACACCGGCCTTTTCCGTTTGGTAGCATACTAGCCGGGAGATCCTCGGTTCATCCCCTTCCTCATGCCTCACTAAATGATCCCCACCCCCGTAACAGTTTCTCTCCGTCTGCTCTGCTGGATGCTACCCCCACAGGAGCCCCCCACCCGATCTCCCCATGTCCACTCATGCCCGCTCCCACCCATTCTCCACAAAGCAGCCAGTGTCTTTTAAAAACAGGAACCAGAACATGGCACTTCTCTGACACAGTGATTCGCCTCCTAGGTATCTACCCAAGAGAAATGAAAATGTATGTCTCTGCCAAAATTCATACATGGATGTTCGCAGCAGCATTACTCACAAGAACCACAATGCAGAAACAACTCAAATGTCCATCAACCAATGAATGGGTAAGTAAAACGTGGTGCGTCCATAATATGGAATATTATTCAGCCATATAGAGTAATGGAGTTCTGATACATGTTACAATGTGGATAAACCCTGAAGACATTATGCTCAGTGAAAGAAGCCAGTCACAAAGGACCACATAAGTGTATGATTCTGCTTATATGAGATGTCCAGCAGAAGCAAATGCATAGAGACAGAAAGTAGTGGTTACCAGGGGCTGGGGAAGAGGCAGACACCATGCGGACATGGGGGATGATGGTTAGGGGTGCAAGGTTTCTTTTTGGAGTGATGAAAATGTTATAAAGTTGACTGTGGTGATGGTTGCACAGCTCTTTGAATGTGCTAAGAACAGTTGAATTACACATTTTAGGTTGGTGAATTGTATAGTATGTGAATTCTATCTCAAGCTATTACCAAAAAAGTCCTCTTAATAAAGCCCATAGCTGACAAAACACCCTGTGACCTGGCCTCTGCCAAGCCGTCCAGTGCTCCTCTTGCACTCACAACCACACCCAGCCATACTGGCCTGCCTTCAGCTCCCTGAGCCAGAGGACCTTCCCATAAACTCTTCTCAGCCCCTCCCCCCACCCCCATGGCCACTCAACATCCATTCTCCCTTACCTTTTGATTCAGCATTGCTTCTTCAAGGGCGCTGTCTCTGGCTCCCCATTCGGGGCTGGCTGCCCCCAGGGGAAATGTTTTCCCAGCACCCCAATCTCTTCTGTGTCAGTACTTGTAAGTATCTGCCTCTCGGTCAAATGGAAGCTCTGGGAGGGTATGAGTGCATCTGTCCCGTGGACTTAGGGTATCCCTCTGCATCCAATCAAAATGCTGATATGCTGATCTTATGACTGTTTTGTGATCACACCAAGCTTATTCATATCTCAGAGACTTCTACTCTGCCTAGCATATCTGGGCCCCCTGAGACTTCCTGGCTGCTCCTTGTCAAGTAACCTCCTTAGAGCTCTTCTCTAACTACTCTAAACTCCCTATCACTCTAGTTGCTCTGTACTCTATTTTGTTTCTTCACAGCACTTGCCACCAGTTGAAATCACATTATTTTATTGTTATTATTATTGTCTATCTCTCTTTTTTAGAAAATCAGCTTGTCAATAGACCCAGAAGAGCCAACACAATATTGAAATAGAAGAACAAAGTTGGAGGACTGATGTTCCTTGACCTCAAGACTTACTATAAAGCTGCAGTGATCCAGATGGTGTGGTACTGGTATAGGAATAGATAAAAGATCAATGGAACAGAATAGAGAGCCCAGAAATAGACCCACATGTATATAGTCAACAGATCTTTGACAAAAGAGCAAAGAAAATTGACTGGAGAAAGGAGTCTTTTCAACAAATGGTGCTGAAATAACTGGACAGCCGTGGACAGAAGAATGAGACACAGACCTCATACTTTCACACAAACTAACTCAAAATGTAGCACAGACCTAAATGTCAAACACAAAGCTATCAAACTCCTGGAAGATATCATAGGAAAAAAATCTAGAGGACCATCTTAGATATAATATCAACAGAAAAATCGATAAGTTGGACTTCATTAAAATTAAAAACTTCTGCTCTGCAAAACACTCCGTCAACAGAATGAAAGGATATGCCACAAACTGGGAGGAAATCTTTGTGAAACACATGCCTGATAAAGTACAAGTATTTAAAATATACAAAGAACTCTTAAAAACAATATGGAAACAAACACCTGATTAAAGGGGCAAAAAATCTGGACACCTCCCCAGAAAAGACATACAGATGACAAATAGACATATGAAATGATGTGTAATTTCATATCTCTCCAGGAAACTGCAAATCAACACAACAATGAGATACTACTACACACTTATTAAAATCGTGAAAATCCAAAACACTGATAACATCAAGTGCTGACAAGGATGTGGAGCAACAGCAACTCTCTTTCATTGATGACAGGCACAGCCACTTTGCAAGACAGTTTGGCAGTTTCTTACAAAACTAAATATATTCTTATCATATGATCAAGCCATGGTGCTCCTTGGTATTTACCCAAAGGAACTGAAAACTTGAGTCCACACAAAGACCTGCACAAGAATGTTTATAGTGCTTTATTCAGAACTGCCAAAACTTGGAAGCAACCAAGATGTCCTTCAGTAGGTGAATGGATAAACAAACTGTGGGACATCCAGACAATGGAATATTTTCTTTTAAAGATTTTATTTATTTATTTGCGAGAGAGTGAATGAGAGACAGAGAGCACGAGAGGGAGGAAGGTCAGAGGGAGAAGCAGACTCCCCGCTAAGCAGGGAGCCTGATGCGGGACTCGATCCCGGGACTCCAGGATCATGACCTGAGCCGAAGGCAGTCGCTTAACCGACTGAGCCACCCAGGCACCCCCAATGGAATATTTTCAGCACTAAAAAGAAATGAGCCATGAAAAGATATAGAGGAACCTTAAGTGCATACTGCTAAGTGAAAGAAAGCAAGCTCCAAGAGAGCAGAAATTCTGATTTGTTCACTGCTGCATGCTCATCATCAGGGTCTGGCCAAAGCAGACCCTCAAGATATATTTGGTGAATAAATAAATGTACAAGACAAAAACTTGTTTTGTCATCCTTGATGCTGCTCTTTCAACTCCAACAACTAATCCATTAGCAATTTCTGTCAGTTCTACCTTCTTAAATATATCCAGAATCTGACTTGCATCACCTCAATAGATCCACCATGGGCCAAGTTGGAGTCATCTTGCACCTAGATGATTCCAATTGCCTCCTCACTGGTACTCAGCTTCTACTCCTGCCCTCAACAATCTATTCTCTATATGGAAGCCAGAGGGAGGCTTTTAACCTTAGTCCAGAGGACTTCAAACTTCTATAAAGGGCCAGATAGTAAATCTTTTCAGCTTTGTGGGTTCTGTAGTCTCAGTTGCAAAAACTTGACTGTAGAAGCAGCCATAGACAAGCGTGGCTACATTCCAATAAAACTTCATTAACAATAGTCCTTGCCATGTCACTCTATTCCAAACCTTTTCATGGGTAGTTAACACCCAAAGTCCCATTACCTGTCTGACTGTATCTCTTACTATCACCCTCTTTGGCTCCTCCAGCACAGTCCTCCTCCCAGACTTTGTAGGTGCTGTTCCTCTGTCTAGAGCATAGTTCTGCCTCATGGTTCACTCGTCACCTCCTCCACGAAGGCTTCCCTAACCCTCTGATCTAAACTGGCACTCTCTCCCTATTCCACCCCTGCCCCCACACTGCATTAGCATCTCCTGACTACTATATATTCCCGAGTTTACAGTCTGTCTCCTCCTCTAGAGTGTCAGCTCACTGCTGTGTCCTAGTACTTGGAACCATGCCACGCACATGGCAGATGCCTGACCAGTACGTGGAGCAAATGCACCCACAGCAGACTGGCAGCGTCTCGTGGAAGAACCGGGTGAACGAGAAGGACCCAGCGGTCTGTGTGGACCCGTCCTGCAGGGTGCTTCCTCACCTAGCTGACCCCCGACCGGCTTCGTCTTCGCGGCTCTCCTCGCACTGCTGTCGCTCCTTGCTCTCCCCCAGCGGCTGCGGCTGCTGGTCCTTGCATTCTACGTGGGGCATGTTCACCTGTGAGCACAGCCAGCGCTTGAGAGGCCAGAGAGGGAAGGGCGAGAAGGGGTCAGATACCCTCCCACCGCCCCTTCGGCCCCGGGCACCTCCGTGTGCCGCTCCGAAAGGCCGGGGACCCCCAGGAGAGGCGCGCGGGGCAGGGACAGGCACCATGAGGTCGGGGACGTGTGGTGGGAGGGCCTGCGCCTGGAGCGCTGGAGTACAGAGGCGGGGAGACCTGGAGGGGCTGGGGTGAGGGCAGAGGCGCCGGGAGGGGTGCTGGGCTCCTAACTGGTGTGTGCGGGGGCTCGAGTCCTCCGAGGAAGGAGACGAGGTAGGAGAAAAAGAAGAAAAGGGTGCGGCGCATGGATATCGGAGCCTTTGTCTACCCTGCTCCTGCCACGAGCCATGCGTGGGAGTCTGTCCTTCTGGCCCGGGCTGTCAGCGTGTCGGTCACACAGTCCCGTCCGTCAGTCAGGGCCTGGTCAGTCAGTCAGGAAATCGGGACCCGGCCAGGCGAGGGGTGGCCCCGATGGCAGGAGACAAGCGGCTGGGTTAGGGCCCACCAGGGAAGCCCGAGATCGCGGCCGTTCCCCGCCCGTCCGCCCGCCGCCCGCCGCCCGCCTCGCGAAGAGAAACAAGCGTCGCTTACGCCCTGTCGCTCCATCCTGTCTTTTCCCGCCTTCTCCTTCGAGCTCTCTGCGCACGCGCCGGCCCCGCCCCCCGGTTCGCACGGCCCCCGCGCACGTGGTGCGTCGTGTGCTCCTGGTCCCGCCTCTTTTTGAGAACTTGCTCGCGCAGCGGGGCGGAGCTGGCCGTTAACCGGCGGTTGGGCTGTCCCAGAGGCTGCGCGCGCAGCCGGCGCCGCCCGGGGAAGGGGTGGTGTGTGTGCGTGTGCGTGCCCATGTGGGAGGACCCCGGCCCAGACGTGGGTTGGGGGAATCGAGCGGTCTTTGCGTTAATTCTTAGATTTCAGTTTATCTGCGCTGAGCCCCAAGAAGTCCTTGCAATAAAAAATCCTGGCCGTTGCTGTTCTTGATTATGACCTGTTGTCTTCAGTGAAAAAATTTATGCAGTATCACCTTGAATCAGTTACCTGTGCGCTCTAAAACTGGTAGCTCCTTACAAGCATGGCGGGTCTGGCCTTTAGAGTTGGGCCCATATCCCTTACTAATAGTAGTAGTAACAATAATGCCTTAATAGTAACAATAATTGTCACCTGAGGAGCCACAGACTGGGAGAGAATATTGCTAAACATATATCTGAGAACTTACAGCCAGCATTTACAAAGAACTCTTACAACTCAATAATAAGACAACCCGACTTAAAAATGGGCAAAAGATTTGAATAGGCGTGTGCAAAAGTCCTGAGGTGGAAGCAAACTTAGTGTGCTTAAGGAGAAGCCGGGCCTGGTGGGGAGGGAGAACAGGGAATGGGGATAGCTGTGGGTGAAGGATCAAAGTTGGGCAGGGGACCAAAGCAAGAGGTTGGGGTTTTGCTCCAATTCACTGGTCAGCGTCCATGTGGGAGAGGCAGCAGGAATCCTGTGCAGGGCTTTGTCGCCTGTCACACAATGACCAGAGCACCCATGTTGACACTACATTCTGGAGAATGTGGTTTGAATCCGGTCTCTTACCAGCGAGAGGGGCTGGGGGCGGGGCATAAAACTGCCACTCATTCTCAAAATCCATTTTTGCCTGTAACTGAGGCAATAAAATCTAAAACATCAGACTATTGTAAGGATTGCAGAGATAAACTTCTAGAACACAGAGTTTAATAAACAGCAGCTAACATTAGTATCTTGTGGCAAAGCCACCATGTAAACGAAATGTACATTCCTGCAGCATCAGATTTGAAGATTATGAGAAAAATCTCAAAAGATTCACTGGTAAGCACACGCGTACACGCACATGCACACATACACATTGAAAAGAAACAAAAGCAACACACAATATGCAGGACGATTTTTTTTTTTTTATGGTGCAGGGTCTGTATAACTTCTGAAAATAAGCAAAATCAAACTTGCTGAAGTAAAATATGTAGTAGCAAAAGTTTAAAAACACATGAGAAAGAGAAAACACCACATTCAGGAGGGAGCAATCTCAGTGGGGTGCTGCCAAAAGGAACTAGGACAAGCCCATAGGATCTTCAAACCATTAGTCACAGATCTAAGATGCGTAAGATCCAAAACAAATATAGTCCGCGTTCAGATTTGATCCAACTGGGGATGGATTCCTAAGTGCTTGTTGTGTTAGTTTATGCTATATACACTTAACCTTCCCCACCCACCTTCCCTTTTCTGTGACTTTACCCCTCCCTCCATTTCTGTACTTATCTATGTCTCCAGTGTACTCCCTTTCCCCCAGGTCCGCTCCCTGAGTCAGCTTTGCCCACTGCTGAGTCTTCATTCAGCTTGCACGCTGCTGGCACTCAGGAGGTGCACATTTGTTTCAAGAACGAGTATTTTTCTGTATGACTGAATTATTTAATTTGAAATACAGAAAAAAAATCAACCGAGTAGCCCTTGGGAGATTGGTGCCCCCACACCCAGGGCCTAGAGAAGCCCACAGCCTCAGCTGCCGACTGTGCTGGCTATTAACGGTGACCTCACGGTTCTAGAAGAACTGTTTACGTTTCCAAAAGTGCACTGACCCTGAAGACATGGGGTGAGCAACATGGAGACTGAGAGTTGCTTTAAAATTTTCACAGAAATAGAGATCCCACTCACGTTCAACGTGGGTTCATGAAGCTCTATCCTACTCATCTTCCTCCTCTGAGCTCCCGTGAAATTCTCAGGAGACCATTTTTTTAAAAAAGAGTGGCTTTTTAGGGAGAGGATGGAGGGATGAGTGGGTGGGAGCACAAAGAACTTTTAGGGCATCGAAAATACTGTGATACCAAAACAACGGACACACATCATCACACGTTTGTCCAAACCCAGAGAATGTACAACACAGAGCGTGGACCACAATGTAAACCATGAAGTTGAGGCGATTAGGATGTGTCTATGTAGTTCACTCATTGTAAGAAATGCACCCCTCTGGTGGGGATGTTGATGGTGGGGAGGCTGTGCACGTGACGTGGGGGCAGAGGGTATATGAGAAATTTCTATACCTTCCACTCAATTTTGCTGTGAACCAGAAATTGCTCTTTTTTTAAAAAGGGGGAAGGGGGCAGCTTTAATGAAACGCTTAAAAAAAAACTTGTTTTATTAAAGCTGTCCCCCCGCGCTGTCACCCCACCATGCCTGGCTCCCAGGGGGAATTGTGGCACCTGCCTTGGCCTTCCCCTCCCATATGCCCCTTCCCCAGGGATGGGGACTTCTGTTCATCTAGAAGAGAGCCTGGCACCACCAGGTGATGGGTAAATGCTTGATGGAGCTAGTCTTCCCCAAGGGGTTGGTTCAGGCAAGCCAGGAGCTCCCAAGGATCCAGGACCCCTAACCCACCACTCCTCATACCCAGGGCTCTAGCACTCCTCCATCCCTAAGGAAAGGCACCATATGAGGACAACTGCCCACTTTATTAGCCAGCAGCTGGCCTGCAGGGCTCCCTAGGGCCCACCTTCATAGATCGAACCTGCTACTTGCTACCCTGCCCCTGGGACCTTGGGGCAGGTACGGAAGAGATACGAGGGGTGGGGGTGAGGGGGATGGCCTCACAGAGGCCTTATAAATACAAGGGGGTCACTGGCAGGGATGCTAGAGGGCTGGACAGCTGGGGCTCAGGGAAGGCAGGCTATCCAGGGTGGTCCATGTCACGCGGCGTCCTGTGTCTGTGGGGGCCCCGGTTCGGCGTCCAGGCGGCACAGGGGACCATCATACACCATCTGCAGGTTCACCTTGTGGCCCACCAGCTCCCGGATGTTGTTGATGCCGTATTTGATCATTGTTGGGCTTGGGGGGGGGGGAGGGAGGAAAACAGTTTTAACACTCAGTCAGGTCGTGCTCTCCTCTGATCAGGCCCTCTCTGATGGTTCCCACCTCCTTAAAAACCCAGGTTGTTCCCGGGGCTCACAAGGTCCTGAGTGATCTGTCCTGTCACTTCCCCACCCTCATCTCCTCCCACTCTACCTACTCCCCCTCTCCAGCCACATTGGCCTCCTCCATGTTCTCCAAATACATCACACACATGCTTACCTCTGGGTCTTTGCACTGGGTGTTCCCGCTGCCTGGAACACCCTTCCGCGGATGTGCCCCCAGCTTACCCGTGATTTCACCCGCCTCCGGTCTTTGCTCCGATACTACCTCCTCCTTGAAGCCTTCCCTGACAACCCTGTCTCCTTAGCCCTCCCTACTGTGTTCTCTCTATAGCACTTGCTGGCTGCAGACACACTCTGAACTTCATTTGTTCAATTTACTTATTTGTCTTGCTAATTGCCATCTTTCTCACTGCACTACGAGCCCAGCATCGCAGAGGCAGGGATGTGTGCTGTCCTACTCCTAGCACAGGACCAAGCATATAGCAGACGCTCACTAAAAGGCTTGTCGAATGAAGAACAGACGGATGGGGCTGAAGGTCTGCAGGCCCCCATGCCCAGCAAGTCACCTGTGTGACAGCCAGACACACTAAGTGGCTTAGGCACTCACCGCTCCAGGGAGAGGCCCCAAGCAATGACTGACACGTTTTCGGGGAGCCCCATGGGCAGCAGCATCTCAGGGCGGAAAAGCCCAGAATTCCCGACTTCCACCCACTTCTTCAGACCTATGGGGGTGGGAGAAGGATAGGGCAGGTTGTGTGGATGACACTGGGTCTGGCAGTGGTCTTGGGAGTGGGCTTGGCAGTGACAGGGACCCAGGCTTAGCTGTGGGCAGCCTGAGACATCCCTCCCCATCCCAGTGCCAGGTTCCACCCTGACCTTGGTGGTAGCTGAACACCTCCATGCTGGGCTCCGTGTAGGGGTTGTAGGCCGGCTTGAAGCGCAGCTGGGTGATACCTGGGCAGGGGAGGCGGGTGAGCAGAGGGGTGGAGGATAAGCCTGGAGGCATGGCATCCTCCCATGGCTCCACTAGCACCTCCCACCGCAGCCTGCCTGCCTACCCAGCTTGGTGAAGAACTCCCGCAGGATGCCCATGAGGTGGCCTAGGGTGAGGCCATGGTCAGCCACCACGCCCTCAATCTGGTGAAACTCGGCCAGGTGTGTGGCGTCTAGGGTCTCGTTTCGGAACACGCGATCAATGGAGAAGTACTTGGCTGGTGTGAAGGGCTTCTGGGAGTGACAGGCGGGCCAGGCCCGGGAGGAGGTCAGAAGGTCAGTAGGACGGCCCCCTGCCTCCCCCACTGCCTGGGCTGAGCTGCACCTTCTGGGCCAAGCGGTAGAGGGCACGGGCGCTGGCCGACGTGGTGTGCGTGCGCAGCAGGTTTTTCCGGGCCTCCTCCAGCTTCCACGTGTACTTGTACCTTCAGGAGAACAAATAGGAAGTCCGCGTTGTGGCCTTCAGACCCCCCAACCTTCTCCCCCGCCTTACACTGCAAAGTCCTGGTCCTGCCTCACCCCTGTGAGCCGTAGCCACCCTGAGAGTGGGTCCGCTTGACCCGATGGACGTAGTCCATTGGGAGCTGCAGGGCCTCAGCTGGATCTGGGCAAAACAGAGCATCATCTGGTCAGTGAAGGAGCATTTCTCAAACAGCCACTGCACTGAGGACAGCAACATGTGCAGCTCCCATC